AGCACTGCCTGGAGTGCCTGTTTCTGCCGAAACAGAAAGATTACTGCTGCTGGGCTGGGGAGATAGTCTAAGCACCTGCCTGGCAAACACAAGGACCTGAGTTCCATCTCTGGTACAACATGCTGCACTGGCCCCAGAACCCTGGGTGCACTGTGCCAGCCACAGAAACCCGGCGTGGTGGCGCACGCCTATAATCCCAGTGCTGGGGAGGCTGAGACAGGAGGTTCACTACAAGTCTGAGCAGCATAGGGGGACCCTGTACCAAGTACATACATATTTAAATAAATAAGTATTTTTAAAATAAAAAAAAGATTGCCGCTATAAGCTCAAGGCACAGCAAGACTCTGTCTCAAAAAACAAAAAAACAGTAAAAAGGAATTAATGATAACTGAGTAGACCATACTTTCTCATATTGTTACTGTTTATTGTTTTGTTACTAAAAATTTTATATTCTACTAGTGCATGATTAAAAATTAACAAGCACAATTGTCACGAGTTCTTATGGAGTCTTGCCTTCTGCCTGCAGAGTACCAAGAGCACATCAGGGTGAAAAGCAGCAGCACCCCGCAGGGGGCTCGCACTCCTGCAGCAGCGCCGCACTGCCACCTCCTCCGGTGTGCACTCAGCATGCCTGCCTCAAGACCCTTCTTTATCCTTTGCTGATGTTATCACTTAAATGGTCACAACCACTTGAAGACCAGGATGGCCTACAGATTATGGCAGCTTGTCACAGGGCTCCTTTCCAACTGCATTATGTGTTTCCCTAAGAATTCCACCTTCAGGGCCCTCTATCCTAGGGGCTCTTTGCTGCCAAGGAATTGTTTCCCAACCCTCCTTAAATGACAGAGCCATAACTATGACTCGGGAGGGGTCTTAGTGGCCACTTAGTTCAACTTCTTCCCCATTGGAGATATTCAGCAACCTCCCAAATATTCAAAGGCACCTATGGTATTCTCTTCTTTCCTGTTCAAGAGCACAATAACTTCAAGAACTCAGAATAAGATATACAGGGGATCATGATATTTATCTTAGAACAGCAGTATTCCGAACTGCACTTGTATAACAATATACAAGATTTATTTAACTGAAATGTACTACACACACACCCCACTTTTTATCAAACATTGAGAAAAGTAGCATTTACTTAAATCCAACCAAAGTACAATTTTCAAGTAAAATTAAGTTAAGCACTTAACCATCTCAAAGGTATCTACAGAAAGACATTAATAGACTAGCAATGATGCTTCAGGAAAGGAGTTAGCACTTGTATATGTGTAAATATGGATCTGCATTTGAGACAAACTCAAATCAGATTACAATAAAAAATGCTTCTGCAAATACTAGCCTTCTGAAAGATGTTTATCATGACTTTAAAGCCTTAAAAGTGAAAAAAATCAGAATTGGTATAAATCATAAAATTGTGAGAAACCAATAACTTGCCTCAGAAATATTAGAAAACTGTAAAATTACAGATTAATAAAACCAGACTTAATGAGAAAGACATGTTTAACGACTTTTAAAACTTTTACAATATTTATAAAACAATATTGCTCTCTTCTAAGAAAGATCATTGAATCAGAGATTCAATAACATTTCTATAAACTATTTCACTATCAACTTCAAATAACAAAAGACTAAAAGGTACATTAGTATAATATTAAAACAACAGAGGCTCTCCAAGAAATAAAACATTCAAAGCCATACAATAAAAGACAAAAAAAGGCTATAATATAATACTAAGATGGAGGAATTTAAGGGTAGGGATAAGCTTATATGCAAAGAAATTGAAGTATCTGCCTGGTACCTTATCATGGGAGATTGTTGCCACATTTTAAGTGTGTCCAAGAAAGCCTGAACTGGGTGGCAGGCAGAGGTCACTTTGGGTTCACCCAGGTGAATGGTAACACCAGAAGGGCCAGCTGTCACGGCAGGGGACGTGGGGCAGGCAGAGCAGGACAGGAGGGTGGGATGGGACAGCTCAGCACAGAGCAGCACAGCACAGCACTAAAACCACATCAAATTAGTTCCTTGGACAAAAAGCACAAATTAGTTCCTTACACGAAAAGCAAACTGTATGTCAATTATGAAGCACTGCTGGTAAGAAAGGAGAAGACATTTAAGGACTACTACAAACAAAGAATACAAAAATTTTTAAAAAGAGGAAGTGTTTTGTAAATTATTTTTAAGCTAATTATCCTGTGTCTTGCACTGTTTTTGACAGTTTTAGAACACATCAAGATAATATCCCAGGGCTAAAGACATAGCTGAGCATCAAAGCACTTGCCTAGCATGCGTGAGGCTCTGAATTTAATCCTCACCACTGGGTGGGGAAAAGATAATATACCAAATAATTACAAACAGAGGAAGTCTCTCTCTTTGGCTTATTAGTTGTACAGCCTTAGGAAATATTTACTTTTCTGGGTCTCAGTTTGACCACATAAAAAGTATAAGTATCCAGAAGATTAAATGAACTCACATACATAAAGTCTTGCAAAATCTTACGTATAACAGGCAGTAGTCATATCATTTATATGCTCCAATAACACAGATCAATTGTTTAGAGATCATTCAAGAAAGAGCAACCCCTTAGTCTAAATACGAAATCAGAAGCAGATAAAGATTCAGTAAGTTTAAATTGTGTTGCCTCGTCAAGAAAACAATAGGTATATAAAGAAACAAGCAGGACATTAGCTGGTTAGGACGATAGCACACAAACATTAATGTTCAAGAGATTAATAGATCCCTGCAAAGAAATTACTCTAGAAACAAAAAACAATTTTAAGTTGGGATTATGTAGTCTTCAGATGAGAAGAGTAGTGTAGGCTGGGGAAGAGTAAGACAGTAACAACACTGTACACACACAGGATTTAGAAAAGGATTTCTAAGTATAAACAGTACACTATTTCCATCCTGGGTTTTATGCACCAGAGCACAGTGAGAGGGCGAGGGCTCTGTAGTCAGGTGGAGGTGAATCTGAATCCCAGTGTCACTCCCTGGCCTTGAACAAATTAGTTAAAACCTCTATGTCTTAGTGTCTTCACCATTTAATGAAGATAACAATGGTATCTGCCTTGCAGCGGAATTAAGAATGATACCGCACATCACTTTTTGAACTAATAAACATCAGCACTTGGTCACTTCTATAGATATAAGTCAAAATATCAAATCCTTGGTGAGCAGAAAAATATAAATATATATCAAAGATAACAGAATTCAAGCCACTCTAATTCCACTGAAGTAGGAATATAAATTGTTATTGCTCCTTTCAAGCTGTATTTCTCTAATAAACAATATTTGGTAATTGGATAAAATATTAGTGTAACACAGGGCTGATCTTGGCCATCAGTTCGGCATGTCTCATAATGAGTCTCATGGTAGTTATTTGATTTTCCTCCTAATTCTGTGCCTAGTGCAGAACCTTGGACATGATAGCAGCTTGGACATGAATGGAGGTTGGTGGTAAACAAAACTGAATGAACTGGCCTTTGGGCAGTCCACCTGAACACTGCCACTTGCAATTTCTCCTATGGGTGACAAAACATTACGTCTCTATTCTGAGATGATGAATAAGAGCATGGTAGTTGAGAATATAGGAAACTGGAGTTACAAAGAACCACAATTGAGCCTTGACTCTGCTTACAAAATCTCATTCCAGCAAACTTGTGGAAAATATTTTCAGTTTTAGTGTTAAAGTGGAAAGGACACATGCATTTTTCATTCAAAATAGGAAACTACCTCAGTATTAATCCTAATACCTAAAGACCCCAAATCAATTTACGTGTATTTTTCAAGCATAGGGATCTTTCCTTTGGTTATAAACTATATTTAGCATACAGAAAATATGTACATTGGAAATAATTTATATGTAGGGAGGAAATTTTTGCTAGAGAATACCAAAATTGTAGAAAACAAGTGCACTCATAATTACATGCAAGAATTTGTAAACAATTAAAATGGAAATCTAATTGCTCTGAGTAAAACTGCAATGTTTCTAAGTTAACTAGTTTTGCATTTTGCCACAGCCCAATGTTGTGTATCTCCTCTGCAATGTCATTCAGCTTTGAAATGAAAATTCAAATAAAAAAATATTAACATACTTAAAAGCTCTGATATCCATGTTCATTTGGTCTTCTTGAATTTAAATAGTGAAGATAAGTAAAAATATAGTGAGATATGGAAATATCCAAAAAGGTTTTTTATACAAAGATCCATAACAATTTACCAAATGATAATTTTCAAAAACTTAATGTAGCTAATAAATCTAGTCAGAAATATCTGAGATTCATGATTAATAATTTAAAAATAATATTTCACCTTGATTTTTATCCACTGGTGGAAAATTAAAAGCATAACAAAGTTTATTATAATTTATTTCCTTTTTATCTTTTGAATAAAATTAGGAATTTTCAAATCACCTTTTAATTGTATACATTCTTATATAAAAATTAGAGAAACTTTTTAAATTAGCTGTAGTATAAATGCTGTATCTTCCAAACAAACTAAAATATAGTATTTTGTAATTAATATTTCATAATTGCTCTTTTCTAAGAATTGCCTGACCGCAATGTTAATAAGCTTTATATTTCTACTGTTAATGCAAATTTCAACAAATTTCCAGAAACTCTTCTTAATTTATAATGTTTTGTCTTTAGACAATAGTGAATTAAAAATTAAGCTTTTATGCTACACATATAACTGTACATACTTATATATAGTTTCATCCAATATTTGATCATTTGTTGTATGCAGTCAAGAGAAATGAAACTCTTATTTGAAAAAGTTCTGGCTTACATTTTCTGTATCATGAACAATTTAACAGAAAAGAAAGCACTTGTCTAGTTACACTTACATAAAAAGCAATGCATAGAAGATAAATGTATGCTGCAAAATTTCATTACACTTATTTTATTTATTTCCAAGTTTGCAATAAGACTTAACCAAAGAAAAAGCAGAAACCAAACAAAACAAAACAATACCCTCCCATTAAAGATACTGAAAGGTTTAAGTTAATCAAACAAAATGTAAACGTCACTAACCCAAGGCATGCACTGCTCCTCTATGCTTGCTGGAGCTCTTGCTTGTTTTAACCACGTGAACGGCACTTTCTCTGAACTGTAGCTCACAAAAGTTTTCAAGAAATTTTCCAATTTCTTCTGTAACTGTATCCAAGTAAGTTTCTTTAATGAATTTCACTGTTGAAGATGGAGCTAAAATTTCCCACAGTGTGCTAAAATCCTCGTTTATCATTGAATATAACTTCAGCATTGCACTTTGGTGTCCATGAGTGATTGCATCTAAATTTGAATCTCTGCTGTAAGAAGGAAAGTTGTCCTGCATAAGTGTAGCCAACAGTTTATTCTGTATGTTCTGGTACTTGATGAGAACTTCTGATTCTGGATAGAGAAACAAAAGTTGTTGTATGCACTGACTTTTCAATAAAATTTTTTGCTGTGAACTATTTATTTCATTATAGCTTTGCAATCTGTTCACTAAGAAGCGTCGAAGATGCAGTCTTATGTCATCCCATAGAGACTTTACATCCATCGAGGAATGATCTTCAACAGAATGAAGAGAAGCCCTCGACAGACAATGAAGAGGTGTTTCGCTTAAAGCTGATGGTAAAGAAATACTGCTCTGCAGGGACAGGTCCCAAAGAAAATCCAGTATCATTTCTTCTTCATTTTGTTCACTCTTCAACAAACCTTGCTGGTAAAAGTAAATTATCACTTTAGAAATGTATTAAATGAAAATACAATAAGAAAAATGTCTCTATAGACATAATTTATATCACTTTAGAATCAATACTCTGATGCCTTTCAAGATTTTTTTTCTCTTTTTGAATTTAATTAATTCAGACAGTTTTGAATATAAGGTTTTATGTCTGATAAATTCAGTAAAACCCAGCTGGCTTTACCAACTCAATAGAGTTCCAGACATAGTTTTTAGTTTTTATTATTATGTCTCTGATACAGCCTGAGCCACATAAAAGCTAAAGTTCAAAAATTCCAAATAAAAATCTATAGTGAAGTATTGATTGAAATGTGCTCCTAAGACAAAATAAATTCAAGATCATGCCCCTAATTAATTCTTGGTAGATAATTTTCATGCTTCAATGAGTGTACTTATTATTATAAAACCCCAAACGAACATATAATGCTTAAAATCATTCTAGAATAGAGTGGAGGTCTTTAAAAATAGTATGTTCCTAGGGGTTACTAATAGTTACCATCATGAGAAATAAAATTTAATACACTGAATGATTTCAGCTTGCATTTAAATTCCTGAGAACCACGTTAAGAAAGATTTTACTCTGAAAATTAATCTGAGAATATTTCAATTCTTAGAAATAGAATTCCAAATGGGATGAAGATCTTCTCAGAATTGATCCTGAAAAGATTATATGAAATTATTCTTTTATACTTTCTGTGCTGATAGAAAACAATGGTATGTATAATTATGAATAACAAAAGGACAAAAATTACTTTCTGCTTGGGCTTTGAGTCACACACACACACACACACACACACACACACACACACACTCTTTCCTATATACTAAGTTTTCCAATTATATCTACTTCAGCTAATAGTGAAATTAGTATCTATTCTTTAAGAAGAAACAAGCTGATTGCAAGAGGAAGCAAGGCCCAAAGTGGCATAGAAAAATTGGGTTAGCTTTAAAATTTCTTATTGGCAAAGATACCACAGGTATTACGTGTGATTCCAAATTATAGACAATTTCTAGACAAATTCCTGGAATTTGCTTTCAGTTATGCTAAGCATTGCAATGCAAACTTCAAAGTTCTATTTGTATTAATTATATCCAATATTTCCATATGTTATTATATAAAAGGAATTCCCACACATATTCTCTGGTTTATTTATATGAAAACTGTGGCATAAGTATTTAAAAATTCACTTTACAAGTAGAGACACTAATATACATGCCTAGGTGACTTTCCAAGCATCACATATAAGAAGGCATGGACCCAAGAACGGATCGCGGGATTCTCTCTTCATCTGCATTCTGTCTGCTGTCTTCAAGAGAATGATACAGAAACTTTCAATGGTTTTATCTCTGTCCTCTCCTTATACTTAGTTCTTTTGACACCTCTAGGAAACAAATAGCTTTAGATCCAAGTCCGTGGCATAGCAGCTTTAAGACAAATCATCAGCCATGGGCTTCTTCAAGTGAGTTAGTAACTATACTTGTTCAAACAAAGAAGACTAGATTATAGAAGTTTCAAACATGTGTTCTGCATGATTGCTTACATTTTCAAAATAACTTCACTATAACTGCTATAATGAGAACCTCTGTTTCTTAACTAGATAATGAATAAAAATTTTCTATGAAAAAATAGACATGTGAAAAAAATACCACCAACACTGACATTCTTAGCATGTAGAAACTTGATAATAAGGCAATTTTAATCTGGGCCTGTTTTAATAATGTAATTCCTTTCTCAAAATAACATGATCAATTAATGTGAAAAAAAAATTCCAGGTCTGGCACAAGCATATCAGTCTAATGAGTTTGAACAAAACTAAGGCGGCCTTTGCCCTGCAGTGAATAGAGAATAACTTATGTGTGACAGATTAAAAGATAATTAAAAGCTTTTGCTTTTAATTAAATGAGAAAGCATTATTACATCAATATTAATGAAATTCAATACACATGGCTCTTAATAGAAATTAAAGGAATAACTATATCCATATTTATTCTTCAAGGCTCTACCTTCAAGAGATAATGGGTGAGAGGGAGGATTTCTTAAAAGATTAAGGCTTCAGGGCACAGAGTCTTCTCTTCTCTTCCCTTATTACTTTGTAAACATTAAAGAGACATCTGTAATAATAACAACAGCCCAAAACAGTTTTCATCTGATTCTGTCATCCTGAGCCATCTACAACCTCAAGATATTTTCCACATCTGCCTTAGTCAATGTTTGATGTTTAGACAAAAACAGTGCCTTTCCCCCGCTAAATTAAATTAAAACCATGACTACAGAAATAGTGCTCTGTAACAATTGTGCTTTTTCTCTGGGAATCTGTTTTTGTATGTTAGCTTCTATTGTACATGTAGGTGTAATAAAATAACAGTTCCTGCCGATGACCTCAAAAATGTTTCTAATCTTGGGGGTGGTGAGAATCAAAGGCAAACCAATGTCATAATTCTCCATTAATTAACTGAGCTTGTGCAAATCATTGAATTGATTTTAAAAACAACTGGGTATGACTGTAAGTTGGAAAGGCAGAGAATCAAGAGATAAAGCCACTTAATAAATATAATCAATGGGAATCTTATTAAGTTTCATACTGAGCATACAGCAACGTGGTATGGTGAAGGAACATTATACATGTAAAATTTAAACTTCTCTGGAAGACAACCTTGGCATATATTAATACATTTTGTGGTCTAGATATGCTACCTATCACATCATAAATCACCCAGCTATTATAATATTTAACCTCCAATTATATAAAATTTCACCCTGTTGATAAAACCATAATAAGCATCTTTTAAAATAGCTCACTTTTGGGGTTACAGAAACAAAACAAAACAAACCTGTATACCTCTAGGTATCACAGACCAATAGGATCACTAAAATAAACATTTACACGTAGAAACTGAATGAACTGCAGTCCCTGTTCACTCCCCAACTCCAATATACAATGAAACAAAGTGTTTTTACCACTGTTTTGAGGAACTGTATCAAATCTCCATGGGGAACAGAAGCTGATGTAGACCTATGGTAACTATAGTGAGTCAGCCAGTCAAAGCAGTCCATTGCGCTCTGCAGCTGCACATCTGGACACTGTTTGTTGGCTTCCTTCTGTATTTCTTTAATGCAATGCTCCATGCTACAAAAAGAAAAGATATGAGTCCTCTGGTAGGAAATAGACATATGTCTATATGGGGTATCTGGCTGTGTATTGTTTACAAAATTTATAAAATGTTTACATGATACAAAAATAAAAACAAAGAGACTACGCATTTTCATTCCTGGTTGAAAACTGAGAGTTTACATTTTCTGGCATAAATGTGACAGAGAAATTATAAAGTATATAGACTTATAAAATTATAGTTACTTAGAGATGACTTAAAAGTTATTTTGTGTTAAAACAAATATCAAGCATAAATATAATGGCTCTCTTGACAGGCAGTGGATGGAAGGCAGAGAAAAAGTAGTCCCAGTAACAATAAAAGTCAGTAACAATACCATATGGTAGCAGAAGAATGGTTATATAAATTATGGGAAATTTAAATTGCTGGAATATTAAGAAGTCATCCAGGCGTAGTGGTGCACATCTATAATCCCAACACTCTCAGAGCTTCTGTAAAAAAAACTTTAGTGACTTTAAGAAGACTGTCCCAAAAGAAAAAAAAAAAAAAAAAATTAAAGGGCCGAGCATGGACATCAATGAAGGTTCTGTATTCAGTCCTCTACCACCACCACCCAAAAAATAAGGCCCAGAAGCAGTTACAAAGAGCTTGTAGTTTTTATTTTAAAAGCTGTATAAAAATGTAGAATGATCTTTTGTTGCCATGTAGGTCCATTCTAAAAACATACCCTAAATCTTCATGTACAAAAAAGAAAAGGAAGACTGAAAGGAAATGAAGCAAAAGGTTAAGACAATTACATTTCAGTGATGCAATTAAATGGGGTTTTATTTCACTCTTCTATATTCCCTAAGTGTTTAAGGAATAAGATAAAATGACTGTGCAAAAGCAGAAGTAAAAAACATCCAAGTGAATACTATGTTTCTGTTTTTAAAATTCCATTCAAAGGATCCTTAGCTCTGGTAAAATAAGATGTGTTATGCTATTTCAATTTCCATACATAATTCTGTGCAGTCATGATTTTCAGTCTTGGAGAGAAAGCCCTGACCTCGGCAGAGTGCCAACTGCAGAGCCACGCGGCTGTGACATACTGCCACCACCTGATGGCACACCAACCCACAGAAAGCCTGCAACCAAGGCACATTCCTTTGAAGCTGAACCACCTCCTCACCGGGAACTGACAGGGATGCTATTGTCTCCTAATAGTTCCCAGGAAAATTTGTTACAAGAAGGGAAAGTGACTGTTTTGAAACTATAATTGCTATTAATTATAGGTTCCATATGATAGAACCACGTGGGTTTTAGAAACCATGCTCTGATTACCAAAATTGATGTTATACAAAAACCTGCACAATTCCTCAGGTGTGGGTTGCCTATAAAACACACAATATAAAAGTGAGAGGAAAGCTTTTCAGGAGACTTCTGAGCATGAGAGAATTCAAAATGAATTACCTGATAAAAATAAAATATGAGAATCAAAAAGGCTTTTCATGAAAACAAAGAATTAAAAGAAAAAATAATACCACCTCTGGTCACAGGCCACTGAATTTCCCGATGGGAAAGAACTATCCCAGAACTCTGACTCAGTCTGATGCAAGACTTGCACGAGTTTTCCCGACTTATGTGAGCACTTCGTGCATGGGAAGCACCATGCTTACTCACCTGGACTCTGGGGTCGCCTTGCCAAGGGTTTTCACCATACATCCCCCTGGTCTCATTCAGTGAAACCTAAGAGACTGCAGAGATGGAACTGGAAAAGCTCGGCAGGGAGTCTGCCTGAGTCTGTTTCAATTAGGACTCGGCTTTTAGACTAATCTCTAACATCTGAATCTGGGAAGAGGCCAGTAAGTACAGATTATAAATAGGGTAAAGCCTTCAGAGGGCTGGATATTTTAGTAGGTTTTCCAAAAGCTGATAAAAGGATTAAGCAGTTGGCTTTCAAGGGACCGCCCTTACTACTCTAACTTAAGACACTTCAACTTGTTTTGAAAATCATCTTGAAGAAATTTTAAAATACCAGAACCCATTGTTGGCACTTGATTTTGTTTTTACTTGGCTAAATATTTTGTCAAACTGTCATTTACCAGTAGTTATATATCTTATTCTAAAAACATAATCCTCCCTCTGAACTCTACTAATTTCTCATCCGCTGTTGTACAAAAAAAGTATTTTTAAACTTAAAGGTGGATGACAGTTTCATATGTAGTCTAATAACTTATTTCGCTAATCTAGGTTAAAATTAAATTAAAAGATGACTTTCAACATTTAAAAGGCATTATTATTTTCAAATATGTTTCAAATAGTTTCAAGTATGTGTACTAAGATTGCTATTGGGGATGACAATCTGGGGTAGAAGGAAGTCTATACTCTTAGGCTTAGATGATACAAACCTTTAATCCAGGTTTTCTGAAATGCCACAGCCCTGTCTTTATTTTGGTTTAAGCAATTTCTGTTTAAATGGAAATGGCTTCAGATTCTCTTTAGAAGCAAGGTCAATCATGAGAAAATAACTAGCCAACTCAACAAACAAAAAGGTCACTAGTATATTTATTGTGAGATTCCAAACTTTAGGGCAAAATTTATTTATTTATTTTTCCTGTATTTTAGGGAAAGGTATACAGGGTGTTCAGGGTCTTATTACTAGATCAGACTCATAGTGATTCTCCTGTTTACAGCCTCCCAAGTGCTGGGATTATAGGCATGTGCCACCACACCCAGTCTCAATAGCCCTCTCAGCGTGCCCCAGGGGCAAGGCTGGCAGGGCAGGCCAGGGATTGAACCCCAGTCACTGCATCTGCCTAAACAGGCGCTTTAATGAAAATATTTTATATAATACCACATACTGCTCAGAATCATCAGCACAGGTAGTAAAAGTATGAGGCAATGCATGACCCAATGTCCCTCTCTAGTAGGAGAGCATGAAGTAGGATGCGGCTGAGGAAAGGGACAGAGAGTTTTAGCAGGACTAGTAATGTTTTACACCTTAAATTGGACGTGGAGACATGAGTATTTATCATAGTACTCCATGCACCTTCATAAGCCTCCACATTCCTTAATAAATTTGTACCCACATGTGCTTTAATTACAATGACTCTGAATTATCCAAGTTAATGATGTGTGTGAGTGGGGCACAACTGGCAGGCTGTGTATAAGTCAATTTAGAAGCCATTTTTAAAATGCAATATGGAGTATGCTTCCTTTAAAGGCTATCTATGGCAATTTTCTCATTCAATTTCATTCTTGGACTGCAAAAACTGCTTCTGAATGAGGCATTATATTTGATAAACATTAACTGAGTGCTAAGCCTGTGGTAGGCACTGTGATACATACTACCAGGTATCTAAACATTATCCCAAGCCTAATGGAAGTGGGAGAGAGAACTGGAAATAAACAACTACAATACAGCAGGAGTTGTTCAGAGGTGTGTACAGCACTCAAAAGGAGCATTTGGGAGGGAGCCTCTAAATGTACCTGTGGGAGGAGTAGAAACAGCTTCTCCTCAGAGAAGAAGCGATTTCTGCAAGGACACTGGTGCTTTAAGAAAATTTATAGCCTTGCTGTATTTAACATTCTCCTATAGCTGGCTCCTCTGACAGCGCCTGCCGACCATCTAACCTCACTGCTGTATTCACTTTAAAATTATGTTTATTTGAATAATAATAACATTCATTTATTTTTACAGCCACAACTTTCTAATTGCCCTCAAAGCTCAGCCGTCTTCAATGGACTCATAAGTTTTCATCTCAGAAGTGAGCCCCTGCTTCTCACTGGTCCAAGAACTATGATCGTCTCTGAGAAATAGTGGCTCAACTATTATTGGCTCAAGGTCCACACAGGGCCTGACTTTTCAGTATAACAATCTTATTCATACTTTATGTACCCTGACAGTTTCAAAACAGACAGACATGTGCTCGCCTTTCCTTATTTCTCACAGAAAGGTAATTGTAATACTATTGTTCGGGATACCGTCAAACAATAATTCTTCATTACCTTCATGTAGAATAAGTAAAGTTAACATGTGTAAAAATAAATATATTCATTTATAAATTGTCCAACACCCAAAATTGTACATAGCACTTGAAAGAACCCTAGTATAAAGAAAGATACACTTGAGCCATTTGTAGGAAAATGGATGTACTTTGAGACCTTAATTATAGGTGAAAGAGGGGCTGGAGAGATGGCTCAGTGGTCTGGGGCACCTACTTAGAACAGGCTTAGCAAAGCATCAGGGACCGCGGTTCGATCC